ACTGTGGTTGTCCAGCTCCCAATCCCACGATTGGAGGATCAAGGCTCGGATGCCCTGTTGAAGAAACAGTTCAAACTCTGTGCACAAGGAGAAGTTGGCTGGATTGCCAGCAAGTACATCATATCAGCCCTACCAGATCAGGATGAGCGGCCTATCAAGACCACCAAGAAGGTGACGGTCGATGGATGGGAAAAGGAAGAAGAGGAGGAGACACGGAAACTCCCAACTACGAGGCGTCAGTTGGAGCACATGCACCTGGTCTTTCGAACCAACCTCCTCATGGCCATCCTCTCCTTTCCCAGCATGCCGAAGTTGAACATCACCCACAGGGACCTAGAGGACTGGTACCGATGGTTCTGGGGGAAAGACATTGCGGACAGGAGACCGCCACCTAGTGAACAGGTTCTCCTCTACGCTGAAAGGAACGCATGGAGGGAGATTCACAACTTGGTCTACGGGGGACTGGGTCTCAAGGAGGCCATGGCCCAACTACGTCAGGACACCCTGTTTTGGACCAGAGAGGTCTATGAGTCTGTCGCCCGGCAGAAAGGCAACAAAGGCTCCGGGCCTGACTCCCCAACACGGCCAGCCAAGTCCAAGGGACGCAACCCTTCGTGGTCACCAACTCAGCCACAATGGAACAAACAAAAAGGATCACCCAAAGGGGGTAAGGCTAAAGGGGCCATGGGATCCGGAAAAGGGAAGGACTCTGAATGGCCTTCAAACTGGGCTAAGATCTCACCCAAGGGAGTGCAGTACTGCCGTGACCACTTCCTCAAGAAGAAATGTCCTGGGAACTGCGGACGCTCCCACAACTGTCCGGTCCTTAAGAATGGCTGGGTATGCAACGCCGCGCCCTCAGAACACAACCCAGAGCAATGCCCACACCGTTGACTCTTGGCGGATCCGGTAGCGTCTTGCACCGATCACCCACCAAGGTTGATGGACACCCCAACACCAATCAAAAACCAAGCAACAACGGAACCGGGGAGATCTCCTCCAGGTTACCACAACGGCACAAGCACACCACATTCACAGCAAGAGGCCGTGGGCCGACCACTTGACACAACAATGACCATGGATGGACAGTCCCTGCTTGGGCACTGTCCATGGCTCTCATCGGTTCCGAACAGGCTGTTGGAACGCCTTGTATGGACCACACAACCCACGGCTAGTCTCCAAGGGAGGACATACTACTCCTCTACACTGGCCGGAGTGACGGAGGGGCCTTGGATGACATACTCATCCAACAACACCAGGACCTGGCCCCCAGGCTCCTTGCCGTGGATATCCTGAGGCCACCAGAAAAGGGCCCAAACGACATACTGGAGGATGAGTTTTACTCAACTCTCTGCTGCGCCGCCGTGGGGGGCCAGTTGTCATTTGTGGGGGGCGGCCCCAACTGCCGGACCTGGAGCATCCTACGATGGTTTCCAAAGCCTGGAGCGCCCAGGCCAGTACGAGGGCGTGATCCCTCCCAGACATGGGGACTCGACTCAAATTCCCTGGAAGAACAGTTGGACACAGACAAGGACAGTATCCTTTTGCTCCGGCAACTGGTCATCACTGCCCTAGCCTCAAAAGCCAGGCAACACAAAGGATTCCACTCGTTCTTGGAACACCCTCGTGACCCAGCGGAGTGTAGTCGGGCACCAACGGCGGCAAAATGTTCATCGGTATGGGCCACCAGAGTCTATCAGGAGTGGGCCAAAGAGGTAAATCACTGTCAGATCCACCTGGACCAGTGTAGACTTGGACAAAGGGCACAGAAGAGTACGACCTTCTCAACGGACCTTCCAATTCACCATTGGCAAGGCCTCCAGTGCAACCACTCTGAACACCTGAGGCCATTGGCGATGACCTCCCGGGACCTCAGCAGATACCCGCCAGCACTGATGGCAGGGCTGGCAGCAGCAATCATCCAGAGCATTCCAAACACAGGACATCCACCCACCGGATGTCAACAGGAAGGGGAGCCTCCAGGTCGGACAGACCGCTCCTCATCGGTACCCCTTTCCCAGACGATGACTTTGGATGACGACCCGATCATCGTTCAATCAGGCTTCAAGACTAGACCCCTACGTGATGGAGGAGGTAAGCCCTCAGCCGGGAGACGACCTCCCCCGCTCAGACCTCAGTCCAAGATCAAGCACATTGGAGACTCCATTAGCCACCTGGCAAAAGGATGTGCACAGGGCGTCCAACAGTCCATCAACAGGGGTGAGAGAAAACATCCGTTCTCTAAGGAGCTTCTTCAGGAGACACGGCGGGCCATTGCCCAAGAGATTGGGCTGGACCACCAACTTACTGAGGAGATGGAGCCAGGCCAGCCGTTCTATCTGAACCTCATCTCAGCCTTAGCGGAAGCTGGTGGAGATGCAGACGCAGCCTACCCCACAAGGGTTGCCAAGGGAGTCCCATTAGGTGTCACCACACCTACCTGGACGTCACCGGGTGTATGGCCTACAAAGGAAGAACTCAAAGGAGAATCCCCTCTGTGGGAGGACCTCCTAATACCCATGGGCCGGGACAACTACCCCTCGGCCAAAGATTTCTCCTCCCAGGTCAGACAGACCTTCGTGGAAGCGGTAGACATGGGGATGGTTGAAGGCCCACTCACACAGGAGGAGGCCGCCCTCCGCTGTGGATGCACCCCAGATGAACTCTGCCCAGGGCCCCTGGCAGCAATTGATGAAGGAGATAAAATCCGCACAATTTACGACGGAAGCTGGGGCCATGCAAACTCACACATCCAACAAAACACAGTTGAGAAGACCACTGCACCCACAGTGATGGACTGTGTTCAAGCCATTCACTGGCTAACCACCAAGAAGGAGAAGACATCTGGGACGGTAGCGTCTTGCACCGACCTAGCATGGCAACCTCCACACAAACAAACCACCTGGGCGCTCTTGAAAGCAGATGTTTCAAAAGCACACCGCCGCATCAAGGTCCAATCCAACGAATGGCGCTACCAGGTAGCACAACTTGATGGCGAATGGTGGATAAACAAGGTGGGTACCTATGGTATGGCCAGCGCCCAACTTTATTGGGGCAGAATGGCGGCACTCCTCCTCAGACTATGCTACATGGTGTTTCCACACATAGACTGGGGCTTTGTGTTTGTGGATGATTTTTGCTGGCTCCTCAGAACGGACTCCGCCACTGAGGATACGGCAAAACTACTTCTCTTCTTAGCAGCCATGGGGTGCCCCCTCAGTTGGCACAAGACGGTGTTATCTGAGGTCAACACCTGGTTAGGTTTCCAGGTCAACCCATGCGGACCAGTGGTAGACTTCCCTCCAGATAAGAGGAAGACACTTGAGGCACTCCTCCAGACCATCGCGGCTGGCAACACCTTCACGGTAAAGGAGATTGAGAGAGCATTGGGACGATTAAATTGGGCAACGGCAGCTTGGCCCCTCAGTCGTCCTTTTCTTCAGCCGTTTTGGGCATGGAAATCCGCGACGACTACTTCAGGGAAGCCCGGCAAGCTCATACGATCCTTTGCGAAGCTTCTCCTCCAGCTGCTCCACAACCCCCAGATCCAGCCCTGCCCTTACGACCCTGCCTCCAATTGGTGGGGTGCCAGTGATGCTAGTGCACACCCGGATGATGGGGCCTACATTGGGGGGTGGATTGCAAACTGTGAGAACCCGTCAAAGGAACAGACCTGGTGGTTCCATTACAAGATACCCCTTGAAGACCATCCATGGGCTCACAAGGATGGTGATCCAACCAGACGCATTGCGACCCTCGAGATGTTTGGCACATTGATTCTCACCCACTTCCTTCTGGCTTTGGGTGGGAAATCTCTGCTCCGTACCCGTCTCAGCCTCATTTCAGACAATCAAGGCAATGTCTTTGCCCTGTTGAACCAGAAGACGAAGCATATGCCTACCTCAGCCTTCCTAATGCAGCTCATCGCCATGCTCTATGTTGCTGGGGTTCAATTGGCGCCTTCACACATGAAGCGGGACTACAACAAGTGGGCGGACGAACTCACCCACCCGAACTTCACTGGTTTTCATCCTGATCGACAACTACCAGTGAGTGAAGCTTTTTCTCATTTTAAATTTCTCTGGGCTCTTCTGGATGACCAGATGAGTGTCCCCACTTTTTCAGGAAATTCAAAACGTCGTAAGACCGATTCTCACGCCACCTAAGGTCCTTCGGGAGCCAGGTGGTTGCGGCTGACTTTATGGTGTACAGTGGTGTTTTCCCACCTACAACCCCTCTTTTTCCCTTCTTACTTGCGCGAGCTTCACGCTCCGGCGGGTTGGGTGGATTTTGACGTGTGACACCACCACTGCAGTTCAGAGTTTCTGTGAAACCATTTGTGATAGATGCGATTGGCATCTGACAGAGACACAGCCGCAAAGCCAACTGCATAACAAAAGGTGCTGACTGATCGATGCAGTTGCTTTGTTCCGTTTCTGTCATTTTCAATTCTATTCGGGAACACATATTTTTATTTATTATTTATTTTTAGGATTTTTTAGGTGTTTCATGCTGCTGACTAAACATTAATTCAAACCGCAATAGGTGTATTCTGTATATATATATATATATACACATACAATCATATACATATATACATATAATATGTACAAATATATTTCTATGTAATTTCTCGTATTTTATTTGACCATTTTTTTGGACGTCATCTACCACATTAATGGGAGACTGCGCTACTAGCAAATGCAACAATGTAGCCTGCAACTTGTATGGCGCATGTACATCTAAGTGATTCACTAAGGAATGCCTTGCCAGCTGGGAATGCTTGGGAAAGATTCACCGTACAATACAACGGCGAAGCTTTTCATCCCAATCAGTTTGATGTTTCTTGGTAGCATTGGTATGATTGTATGGATTTGGCTGAGTTGAAATTGTATGAAATTCTTGGTTTCTTTGGCGAGCAAGTACACGCCTGCACACCACATAGTTGGACTCAATTGTACTGTTCGCCGTAAGATCCAACCCAGGTTCACCAGGGCAAGATGTGTAAGGGCGAACCGTATACCAGAGACCAATGCGAGCTTGCCAACTGCAACGGATGGTCAGGCGTCACCCAGCAAGACTGCCAGGACCATGTTTTTTGAGTCCTACTCGTATACCAGACGGTTCATTCGAGGTGTTTGTTCAGTTTGTTCCTTTCATTTCAAAGCTTGCCTTTGATACGGCTGCGTGGCATGTCATGTTTGCTTTGTGAGGACAAGTGCCATAACAACGAGAAGCCTGTTGGTTGTCAGCAGGACTTTCAGTGCGTCGCTGCGGTGTTCGAAGCACCCAACTGGTGTCAGCTCTACTCGGTTTGCACAGAGTTTCATGTCGACAGCAATGCAGTTTCGATTGTGAAAAAACCCAGCCCCTTTTTCTTGCAGATGGTCGACGGAGATGAGACATGCCGAGGATCCAACGGAACTGAGAGTGAGCCACACCCGCCTGAAGCCACCCTGGCGACGGCGTTGCCTTTGGCTATCATCAACTTGACAAACTTCTCAGGGCTGATCACCACGAGAAACTTGTCGCACATGGGAATGGAGCACCATTTTGGGAACCTCGGCTCGGATCTTCAGCTGTTGTATGACAAAGTGGAAGGCTTCTACAAAGCCCTCCATGAAGTGATGGGGGAGGATGCGGAGGTTCTCTGCCCACGCAACAACTACATCTTCATCGAACATTGCCTGAAAATCGCAACTTGCCTCCTGGATCCTATGGTGAAAGCTGGTCAAGTCCCCATGGCCTTCTATGCATCCATGCTCGAACAGCTCGTGAACTTTGAAATTACTTGGCAAGGCCTCGTTCAGGCTTTGGCGGAGGAAGGAAATGTGACCATTGTGACACCAGTTCAGCATGAGTCCAGCAAGTACCACTGTGACCTCTTTGACACAGCGGATGGGACGACTCTGGCAGTTCCAATCACGAACACTTCACTCCTTTCCCTGCGCCATCAGGACAAGAGCCTGTCTCACCAGGAGGGCCAGGAGGGCCAGGAGGGCCAAGAGGGCCAGGAGTCTCAGGCATTTGCCACGGCAGCTGCCTTGAGTCACGCCGTCAGGGCCACCCATGAGCTCTTGGACTCGCTGGGTGATGCCTCGGGTGACGCGATGGGTGACTGGCAAACTCAAAATGCATCCATGGATTTCCAGAGGATTAAGAAGCAGTTCCAGTCGCAGTGGGACGCCATGTGGCTTCCAGTCTGTCGGAAGATGAATTGTGACCACACGAACTTCTGGGATATCATTCTGTCCAGCTATGGGCAGACCATGGCACTAATGCAAACAGGACCACGAGCCTTTGCCAAGGTAAAGGCTGAGATCCGGAACAGGGCAGCGTTCCTTAGCTGGGCGAGCTTTTTGATGATACATCAGAATTGTAGTACATCATCGTACTTCATAGTACATGCAATCCTCGATTCTTGATACACATATATTACATTATATTACTATGATACGATGTATCTCTGGACAAGTTTGTTTAGTTTAGAGTTTAGAGTTTAGATCATTAGTTCATATTAGTTCATGCTTTATTGATGATCTACCTGTCTCCTAGGTTGCAGCGTCGCTTTCAAGAACGGTTGGCAGTTCACCCAGTGTCTCTGATTCAGGCATGGGAAACTTTGTTGGCTTGAGTAGCGGGCACCACAGGTAACTGTTCCGATTTCAGAGCACAAGCTCTGCACTCTGAGGCTAAGGAAATCCATAAGATGCTAGGTCTGCTAGGTGAAAGGAGGGATTCATAGAATTCCAGGTCAGGTGTAGGTGTACAATTTGCAATGTGTACAAATTGTGTACATGGGTTGACCATGGGTTGAAACTACGATGTATTCTATTGATTTCTATTGTATTCTATTGTATTCTGTATGTTTCTGGCATCGGCAGGTTTGGCGTAGAGATGATGCGCAGCGCTCTTCACTGGGCAGTGCCGAGGCCTACGGCCATGCTGGGCATTTGGCGGTGCGCGGCTTCCTGAAGAAATTCGCGATGAAGTCACCACAGAGGGCAATGACTTTGGTTGACATCGTGGAATTCGAAAAGTCCAAGAACCAGAAGAACGAGAACGAGAAGAACGTCCAAGGACTTCTTCCGGTTCCGGACAACACCAGTGCCGCTGCCAGCTCTTTCTTGCAAAGTGACAGAAGTGACAGCATCGCACTTTGGGACTTCTGGAAAAAACTCACTGCTTGCTTTGGAAGCTTCTCGAAGGTGTACTGTCAGGGCTACTTCATGTCTTGGCCTGCCAAGATCAGCACATCCTTTGGATTGGCGGGCGGATCTTCCCATGGACTGGAAGATTTGATCAACAAGCTGCAGCCATCGAATTTTGTGTCGATTTGGGGTGCGGTGAGCGTTGGCCAGTCCATTGCCCAATTCTGGGCAGGCATCAGCATTAGCTTTTCTGTCAGTATGGGTTGTCCCAACAAAGGGGTCGAGTTCAGCATCTCTATTGGAGCTATGGTGGCAGCAATGATACAATGGTACAATCCGCTCATTTGCCCCTTCGGGCCCACTTTCTTTGGTTTCTTGGTTTGTTTAGTTTGTTTCATGGTTTTGTTTTTCTCCGGCACTTTTTGGTTCTGATGTTTGTTTTGCTGCAGTTTTCTCATGGCCTTTATGTTGAGGCAAACTTGTCGCGATCTGAGGAAACCCATTCATCCCTTGCTTCCAGGCCTTTGGTGGAACCTTCACCGTATTGTGTTGCGCCTTCAATTTGGTCACGGGAGACAACACGTGTCGCTAGCTGTCGCCAGCTGTCGTGTGGCCTTTTTACACATGCGGAGGGCGGCGTTGGCAAAACCCCTTCGATGCCTCCTACGCGACTATAGTTTCGAGATGTTTCGAGAAAAACAGAAAAGAACCAAGAGTCAATGCCATGCTTCGCTGGGTGCATGTAGTTTCATTGCGCATGATGTGAAGTGTAAAATTTCCCGAGTTTCTATAACACAGGTGACAGGTGTCACATGACACATCATGACACATCATGACACATAGTCACATGACACAACCCGACACGTGCAGCTTCGTCAGGCTGCCCTCAAGCTTTGGAAAGTCCGCTTAGCGCAAGCTGCAGCATTCTGCGAAAATCAGGTCCCTCGAGTGCTTTTGGCCATCAGGAACCCACTTGGAAGTTATTGACACCAGTTTCTGGAATCCAATCCGAACCTGTAAACTTTAAACTTGGACAATTAATGAATATCAATGAACATCAACGAACATTATTCATCATTCTTCCGTATTCCGAATTATTCTGATTTCAATTTTTCCGAGAATTGTTCCTGAGCCCCAGCTGAGATTTTTCATCGTGAGATGTTGCAGATCCTCGAAACCTGAGTCGCTAGTAGTCGCTGCAGGCTGGTTCTCCGTGGCATTTTATTTTTTTTGGAGCCAAGACTCTATCTTTGACCATTTGGTATTTCGCAGATTTTCGCACTCTCTGAGGTGAACACTGTGAACACGGTGGGTATTTGTGTGCACTGGAATACTGTGACGTACAACATGGGGGATGTACTACACAGAACCACCTTAGCTTGTGTTAAACATGGTGAAGTTCCAGGTTTGTGTCACCTCCCGATAAGGTTCATATAACTTTATTATTATATTACTGAAAATTATTGAACATATTGTAACATGTTAATATGTTGTTCTTCAATGTCCTCAAATATCCTCAAATCCTCTGTGATGTGTCACTGTGGTCCAGGTTCTTTTGAAATGCGGAACTATGGTGAACGGTGCTGGCTGACCTGAAGCTTTTGCACCTGGCCAAAACTTGGCACAGCTTGGCACCACTTGGCACCACTTGGCATCGTGGTTGCTGTGCCATTCGCAGGCGAGATAGTTATGTAATGTTATGTAGCAGTCCAGCAAAACAATTCGAGAGCAACACGAAAACAATTCCACACGGAAAACTGTGTGACCACGAACTTGATGATGTGAAACCATATGGAGCGACAACGATGTGTGCAATGACTTCAATACCACAGCTGGTGCTGCCCTCGGCTGATTTCACTCGGGTCAGTCGATTTCAAATGGGTGTTGAAACCACGGTTGTCACGTTGCTGATTCTCGGTGTAGTTCTGCCTTTTTTTTTGCAAGTTGCAGGCTGTATGTATTGGCACGAGCAAGAAGAGAGTTGATACAAGAACAATGCAACGGAAGTGAAAAATGCGGCAGATCCATAAAACTGCATGAGGTGGTGGCATCTCTAGTTGCAGATCAAAAAACTTGCCGGATCATGAGGGCACCAGCCTCCAATCGTGAAAAAAGGAGGGCAGAGCAAAGCAGCCCACATATCGGGCATCGTCGGCATCGTTGTTTGTTTGAAATGTCAGTGTTTGACATTTCCATTTTGCCGAGTGGATTTCAGCTTATCGCCAGGGCGGGGTTGATGCCATTTGCCACGAGGCACTTCAAACGCTTGGGACCTCAGAGAGCATTTCATGGCTTGGTTTTGAAAGAAAATCATTTGAAATCGCTTGGACACATGTTTTTGGAACAAAAAACTATGAAACTGTTGAATCATGTCTAAGCAATTCTAAGCACGTCCAGGCTGGACCTGCGCAAGCACGTTGCGTGTCATCCTCAGCAGGTGCCATGCACGACGTGCTCGCCACTTCGCTTGTGCCTTTGAGGACACACCCGCGGCTGGGGCTCGTTGACCACGTGGCCTGCAATCCTTTGGGCACAGCAACCTCCGCAGAGGCTGTCGAATCGGTTCTGTCGATCTTGAAATGGAACAGATTGTGGAACCAGAGCGCTTTGAACATGTTTGAAACGTGTTCCACATGGTGTTCCAGATGTCTTCACTGCGAGCTTTAACAGCATTTGCTCTGCTTTTGCCCATCTTAAAGACTTAAAAACAGCATCCCCAAAACACTACCTATACGTATCTATGCCATCTACTTCACTCATGCAAACTGGAATATATATATATATAATAGTATATATTTATCAGTTATCAGCTGATGACAAACAAACACAACAAATGGATCATTTCAAACTGCTCATTTTGACATTTTTTGTTGTCAAAGAACGCCCCAAGACAGATCACGTACATTATTTGTGGAGAAGTTGCCCTCTTGATGCACCCTGGCTTTGTTTTTGAGCCATGGTGATGCCGAGTGTATTCCTGGAGCATGGCCGGTTGCGCTGCTTGGTTTCAACCATTGGACAGATCAACCCAGCCAGGTCTGATTGCCGAGGGGACTGACCTTTGAAAGTGACAGTACTGTCGGATTTTTATTCACGATGTCGATGATTAAGATTAAGATCCTCAACACCAGATTTGAATCACAGGGTCTTGTTTTTGCGAAACATTTTCTTTCCGATGGGCTTTGAAACATTTTGCGCTGCAAGCAGTTTGTCAGCAGGTTGAGCTTTGGGTTGACGCTGTTGATGCACCATCCTTGCTGCAACAGCTGAAAGACTGGTTCTGGGCACAGGACAGCCGTTCTCTGCGTTCTCACTGTTGTCTGCTTCAGCCCGGAGTCAGGTTGTGCAGACTGCACAGACAGACTGCACAGACTGTGCAGACCTCACCTGCCAGGATGGTTTCGCAGACGATGCTTTCGCTTTTGCAGAGCAATATGCAGACTTCTTTCAGGCCAAAATTGAAGTGCAAGGCAAAACCACAAAACCACAGAGAAACGTGATGAACCTGTGTGATTCTCATAAAGAACTTGCCATTTGAGTCTGCGTCCGCAGGCCGCCAAGTACTACTTGGACAACGGGGGTGAAGAGCATCCGCTGGACCATCAAGCATCGAGCATCTTTGATCCAGCCGCAATGTGATTCATGTGATTCAAGTTTGAACTCGTCACGTCGTCACGTCCTGAGAGTCTTCACATGTCTTCAGGTGTCTTCAGATGTCTTCAGATTTCTTCAGTGTTATCTGTTTCTGGGGATTTCCGAAGGACTGGAAGGAGCTGCATCAGCACTTCGTCGCACAATTTGAAGGGCGCTTGGAGGCTTGAGCGGCCAAAAGACACCTGAACACTGCAACGAAAATGCCACAACAATGCCACGACAATGCCTCCAATGCATCCTGTGTTCAAGTTGATTTCAAGTTGCAAGCGTTTCGATGGGCCTGCTTTGAGGCCTTTCTGGCTTCAAGAGGTTCGGATCTTGAGGTGCGGCACGTGGGAATCGGCTCGCGGTGCGATGCTACTTTATCTGCCCGAAAACGCCAGGGCTTGGAGGCTGCCTTGCAGTCCACTGAGCTTGAAAGCGATGAGCAGGCAAAGTGCAGCACCGGTTCGCTGATGGCTGGCTTGGGGAAAACTGAAACGATGCCGTAGCTCCGTAGCATAGGCCAAAGTCATGCTGGAGCTCATGCTGAACATCTCTGACTACCAGCCTTGGTTAAAGTCAATGCTTTCCTTGGCAGATGAGTGGAATCGTGGTGTCTGCATCTCAGGTTGTTTCGATTGTTTCAGATGTTGAGTTAAATTTCTCGTACATAGGCTCCAACTGCACAATTGAATCGGCTTTTAGTGCTGGTTTCGTTGCACGGCGTTGCATGGCGTTGCATGGCGTTGCATGGCTTGAAACTCATTTCCCCAGAGAATCCTGGCCCCAGGAAACTGCCCACGAGGATCCAGAACCTCCCGACCAAGGATGGAATCGACCAGGATTACCTCCAGATTTTAGATATTTTTAGATGATTTTAGAAATTTTGATCTTACAGATTCTTACAGAATCTTTTTAAATTTCCAGAATCTTACCATATTTCCAGGTAGTTTTACTACCCAGGATGACATAGACAGCTTGGATGGGCTTTGCCAGCCATGTGGTGTTTTTGGACCCGTGAGGCATTGAAGACAGAGACGATCTCGATATGTTTTCAGCCTTCAGATGAAAAAGCACCGCGGATTTGGGCGGTTTGAGCATCATTCTGTGGTGAAATTTGATCATTAGAATATGGAATATGAATGGACATCATTGACATCATTGGAAATCTACAAAATCTCATGGAAATAAATTGGAAATAAATGGAAATATCGGAAAACCCATGGAGAAAATATGACAACATCCCCTTGGAATAGGCAGCTGAGCTGGCTGCTCGAATCGGCGCCCGCCTTGGGGACGGTGCCGGTGGAGCCGGTGGAGCCGGTGGAGCCTCTCCAGCCACAGTCTCAACAAACTTCCGAAACAGTTTCACAAAATTTCACAAACACTTTCACAAAAAACTTTCACAAATTTGAAACTTGAATTTCTGTAGAACATTGTGGAACATTGTACTTGGAATTGAAATGACGAATTCATATGAATTCAACATTCAGAAAAAAGCACGAATTACAGGTGCCGGTTTTCTTTTATGGTGCAGCGCGGGAGGACTGTCGGAATTCCATGGAATTCCAGGACCATGGGAGAAATTCCTGGAGAATTCATGTCGAGGACTTAAGATCTCTGGCAGAGTTACGTCGATGCCTCGGGTGCGCCACGGTTTCTGTGCATCAGGCAGATTCAGATAGTGACAGTGACAGTGACGGTGGGAGGTACTTCAGTGGTGCGGCCAAAGGAGAATGGTGCCAACCCGAAAATGTTGACAGATTTTTCATTATTTTTAATGTTTTTAATTTTTGAAATTTTAAACATAGTTTTTCTATGTTTTTCTGTATTTTTCTATCAGATTTTCATCAAGCCTTTCTCCAATGAAGCTGTGAAACTGTGAAGATCTGTGAAGATCTGTGAAGATCTGTGAAGATCTGTGAAGATCTGTGAAGCTGTAGCTGGCTGTGAATTCTGTGAGGTCCGGCCTGTCCCACGAAATGAAGACGGCCATCGTCTTCGGCTCATCGACTCAACTTTGACACTTCCACTCAGTCGACCACATTTGTTTCCTCGGAATCCACATCCACATTCAAGATATTCAATAATTTCTTCAGGCCACATTTAATTTCTTCAATTTATTGAATGTAATTTATCATTTACACATTCAATTTATCAATATTTATCCCACATCCTTGGATCAAGCCATCAAGATTGAATCAAGGTACCCAGTTTCTCCTTTTGACCAGATATTGGATAATCATGGATAATCTAGAAAAGTCACAAACTTTTGCAACAGATTCTCTGACTCTGCTTTTGCACGGCTGCGCGCCCACATCTCGAGGTGCAATTGCCGGCTGATCGAGGTCCCGTGGGCCAGGCATCTATGGCTTCAGATATGGAACCCAAAAGGATCTAAAAGGCATAAATATGTGGGAAATGCAACATTGATGTATTCTGTTCACATTTTTCACAACGTGTTGACACATCACGATTCAATGCATGGGTGCTGCAGGAAAAAACTGGCCGTTTTGATGCAATGGGATGCCAAACTTTAAGATCGCTTGCAAATGTTTTCTTTCGATTTGTTTCCCTTCTGTATACATTTTATTCAAGAATACGATCAGACTTGATAAAGTAGTTTAAAACAGTATCATGCTGTGCGCAATGTGCGCTTTTTCATGTTTAGTGTCAACCTGACAAGTAGATGATCGCCATGGCGTAGCGGTGGTGGGAGCAGTGCCATGGGTGCTTCCAAGGGCAACGCCGTGAAATGTGAAACGCTGTGAAACTGTGGTGGCATAGCGATGCATAGCGTAGTTTTTCCAGATGATGGGCTTTCCGCTTGTGTCGAGGTGCACAACTACAATCTCCTTGTCGTTGCAGACTTGGAAGAGGCGTGAAGTTTTGGTGAGTTCTCGAGAATAGTTCGAATATGTTCGAATATGTTCGAATATGTTACTGTTCGAATATGTTGACATGTTGGAATGATTTGGAAGTCACGAGATGTCACGAGTATCTTGGGACTTGGAGTTGAACTTCGAAGGCTGAAGTAATGAGGCGATGTCGAAGGATTGCTGGGATCCCGAATCTCGAATCCAAATCCCATGTTTGATTTAGCCTTTGGTGAAGGCTCATCTTGCAACATCTTGCAACCTTTGCTTGTGGAGTGCTTGTTCTCTCCATTGTCGAGTGTGGTAGTCTAGTAGTCCACTGATGTCGTGCAATGATTACAAGACAATCAATCGATGATTCGATCCAAGACAAGTGGCCGCTGAGATTCGCTTCGCCTGTTGTGTCACCAAGGCCAAGAGCATTAGCGAAAGAGGTGGTGGCTTGGACAAAGTCGAGACCATGGCACTTCCTCACGAGAAGGGTGTCGAGGCGCACATCGTTCTTTGTAACGGTCCAGTTGTAACGGACATGGTCGATGATGCTTCCATGTGTTGATTTTGAAGACACAGGTCGCTTGCAATCTCCTGGATGCAGACATCACCCCGCCAGCAAAGGTGCACTCACAAAACCCTTTCAAACGATCACGCCTCTTGGCAGAACCAAAGCCATGCAAAGGCTGCAAAGGACAACGAGCAAGGCACTCTTTTATGGAAGCTGCAATTGGCATAAAGCGGTACAAATGATACACATTTTGGTGGTCGTTTATGATACCCCCCAAGAATCATGCATTCTTTGTTTCACAGACGTTTACACGCCACTGCAATTTTCGTACCTCTCTGCTGCTTCTCATAGCTTCGGGTGCGCTTACCGGGTCTTGCTGCAGCCGCGCAGAGAGCAGTGCTGCATGGGCTCTGCACCACCGGCATCATTATCACCACCTGCCTACTGTGCGTGCAAGTGCTTCTACATTCATCACATATTCATCAGATATTCATCAATTCATTTTGTGTTGTCAACGTTTCGTCAAAGTTTCCAATCTGTTTGCAGAAATCCAGGTCTGCCCTGCTTGTGCCTGCAGTGGAGGCGGCAGCGTCCCCAGCCGCATTTCACTCCCCAATGCTGCAGAGCAGCTTCAGAAGCTAAAAGACATGTTGCAGGAATGGACATGTTGAAAACATCCCAGCAAACAGGGCTGTGTCGCTGCGGAAACAAAGCCGAGATGCAAAGTAGAAGATAGTCCCTGACCATGAGAAAGCATGATGTGGCATGAAAGTATTTTAGAATATGACGATTCAATCATCAATGATCATCAACCCAATAATATTTAGCATTCAAACATAGTCAAAGAATGTCAAAGAACTGATCTTTCATTTGGTATTTAACATTTTGCAGATTTTTGCAGCTTGTGTTTCTTCACATCAAGGCACCGGCGGTGACCAGACAGGAGCGCAGGGGGAATTTTCGAGGTTGCTCGGTGTTTTGAGTTGACGACGTAGTGATACTGGTATTGCATGCTTTTTTTATTTTTTTTTTGCAGTTTGGACAGAGCGTGAAGTCAATTTTTGTGAAGTTTCGAGGAGACATCATGGAGGCAAGCGCAGAAGGCAAGCTAATCGCGACTAAGGTTATTGCGAGGGTGTATCTGGGGATATCTGGAGATATCTATATAGAGATTATTATTGAGTATTTGGGGACTTATTTTTACGTGTCAAAACACTTGAACAGTCAACACACTGCGTCAGGTGATGAAGCCTTTTTGAACAAGTTTTCGCGGCAAAATGCTGCCTTCGGTGCAGAGGCCTTTCGAACTTTGCAGAGCAGTCGAGCAAGTTGACGAATTCGTCGAACCACTTGACACCCTGAACAGCCTGAACATGCCTGAACCAAGTTCAACCGTTCAACCGCTTCTTCTCAGTGACTGCGGAGCCTGACAGGTCACCATGAAAATGACCAAAATGAGAGCCCTAGTAGTCGGCTGCAGTGGGGTTGCTGTGGAGGCTACTGAAGAAAGTTTCAGCTGATATTTTTATGTTATATATATTTTCATATGGATTTGAATTTGAATCTTATTTTTGTATGATTTCTACACTATTCTTTGCCAATTGAGTCACTTGCGATGGGGCCCATTGTGCCCATTGTGACCCAAACTCTCCACGTCCTCACGTCCTCCGCCCAGATCGTGAAGAATCTGGTGCTGCAGGGTCTTGGAGCAGTGCCAGCGCTCAGAGAGTTTGCACTTGACCATGACAGAGCTGCAACATGCCTGACTATGCCTGACTATTCCTGACTATGACTTTGCAATACTATATAATAAATTATAATAATATAATACTATGCGGCTGACCATGCAACCATATGCAACCATACTTGAGCCGCATGAGGTGACCTTGATTGATCCGAAGCCTGCAAAGATCCAGGAGACTGCCTTCCTAGTTCGACAATGCGCAGCAACAATTTGTCAACTGGATCCTTACTGGATCCTTACTGTAACTTGAGACCATGAAACTCAACTCTTTGTGAAGTGCTTCTGCCTTTCTTATTTGGTCCTGAGTTAGTCCAGAAATGTTCTTCCCAGCAGGATTTGGGCACAAACTTCTTTTTGTCAGAGGCGCTGTGCCACACTTCGGTGAGTACACTAATTCACTAATTCTTCGAGCTCTGGAGAATCAGAGAACGAGAGCAAAGTGCCGATGGCTGCTTCGCGGATGTTTTACAGCAGCAAAGTGCCTTTCGTGCCGGGCCAGGCAGATGTTGGAAAGCCTCTGGCCGACCTGCTGGTGCCCAAGATCCAGGAATCTGCCAGGGCAGGGCAACCCATCGAATCCGATATCCATGCTCCAATCGTGATGGAAGAAATTTGCAGGAGCTCAATCCGTTTTGCAACGTCAAGACAGCGCCTGTATTGAATGCAGAGGCATGACCCAGGGCCAAAGCCAATGCGTTGGTCGCTTTCGGTCATGGTAAAGATGTTTCGGACAAACGCACTTATGCAGCACATCATGCATCTTCACGCAATAAGCCATCTAGCTGACATGCTCAATCAATCTCAATCATGCTCACAAAGACTCAAAGCAAATGTTGCCTGAAGGTAGTCCAGCAACACTCTGTGTTGCTGATCTGCGAAAGCATGCCGCTGAACGACTTGCTGAAGTGCAACTTTCATGTTTTGCCTTCGCCGACACTGGAGGAGAACGGATTCAGCTCTGATAAGCCTAGCAAATCATGGTATTTTATGGTATTTTCATATATATATATATACTATCTACACATACTTGTACATTATTGACGTATTATTATTTTAATTATTCCCATGTGCTGCTCACCAAACTCTCCGAGTTGATCCTCTCTGTTTCCAACATGCAGAGGTGGAACGAGTATTGTCGCAGCCTTCTACCAAAACCAGTGGCCGTCAATGGCTTAGATGTGGTCACGTGATGTCACGTGATGTCACGTGATGTCACGTGATGTCACGTGGTCTATCTTTGGTGGAACAAAATTTTGAGAAGTTGAGACTCTTTGAGACTCTTTAAATCTCTTTGAGACATTGCATCTCTTTGCCCCAAGCAGATCCAAGCAGATCCAAGAAACAAGGGGAGACATGACGCGCGCGCTCAGTTCCTGTACGTCCGGACGGGCGGCATCTTCGGAAACGTCTTCGTTGACTTTGGACCGTCCCATGTTCTGGTGGACGCAAATGGACAGGCCTCGGAGAAGTCATGGATATGGATGTCATGGACGCTGATTTTATGATATTTCGAGATTTTCAAGTAGTATTTTTGTGCATTCTTGGAACGTGGAACATGGATGAACACTTTTGACTCGCTTCACATGTTGACATGACATCTTATCACACGTTGACTTGCCATGCTTTTGGAGTGACTGGAAGTGTCTCGCAGCCGTGTGGCTCAATCACTGGGCCAGCCTGTCGTTGTGGGTCTGGGCACTCAGCGATTCCATGGCTGTGAGAGCACAAGTTTCAAATAGTTTCAATCAACTTTCGTCCTTCGGTTCTGATCAACTCTTGTGGCTACCCTTGATTTCAAACCCGACTTAGTCGCTACCAGAGTGAACAGTCATTGACTCCCCCTTCGTCTCGGAACGATACAGCTGTTGCTAAGATGTGGTATGTTTCTTTTCATCAGCACTTCCTCTTCCTCTTCCTCCGCTTCTTCTTCTTCTTCTTCTTTTGGTTTGAAAAGATTGTGTGACTCAATCTTGGGATGCAGCTGAGCTCAGCTGAGTGTGCAATAGATGTGTCTCCAGGCTCTCAAGAATGTCGGCTGGGGAGGCATGCCAAGGGTTGAAATATCCTCAGGATACCTCAGGATCGGCACAGCATTGCTTGTGAGATATGAAATTACATAGCACCGTGACAGATTTTATATGCATTAATATATTTATACACTTATAAAACTCATATACAAAACATTTTTCTTTTTATCATATCCCCGTCTCAGACCATATCTTGTCATTGCCTAGCAAGGAAGTCTTGCAAACTTGACGATGGGTTCCGTTTCTTGAAGGTGGCCTTTGTGACGGGCTTGCAAACAGCTGGACCTGGACTATCAGGCGCTCCTTGCGTCCTTTGCTCCGAACTTTCCAATCGCATTGAATGCAGGGTTTTGATGGGCTTTGGTCGTGCTTGAAGCCGCTGGAAAAAGTAAAGCGAGTAAACTGAGTACGCCTTGCCCCGTGCAGGGAGCAAGCCCAAGCCGTTGCAGAGACGTCCAGTGGAGGCCGTGGTTCGACCACGTTGACGTTCGATCACCACAGTTCCGTGTCAACTCAAGTGATGCTGAGATATGATGGATGAAACCGTTTCGTTCCGTCCAAAGGTTTCTGCAGTTTCTGCCTGATTTTTTGGTCCGCTGCATTGTGTTTAAATGAAGACCCTACAGATAGATCAGATAGACCTCTTCGATCCTCTTCGCTGATCAAAGCGATTCAGTGGAAATGAATTGATTCGTTTGTGTCACCAATGTCACCAAGTCAGGCTGCGGATACATCGAGCCTTGCGCGTTGCAGTGGTGCTGTGGTTGGAGGCGCTTCAAAGTTCAAGCGTCTCCAAAGTCTCCGTCAATCAGTCAATCTGTTTGTATCATTTTGATTTCATTTTGTATCTGTTTATTCTGTTTGTCAAATTTTGTCAATCGGTCTCACTCTGGAGGTGCGTTCCTGGCGTGCAGCAAGCGCAGGCGGCATCGAGCCCCTCGCCAGGCCATTTGACTAGTCGTTGTACTGTCGCTGTGAAGTTCTCTTCACACAATATTGGTCTTTTCACATGTTTTCACCTTGTTTTTACGGTTCATTTCTTCCACTCTTTTTTGCACGGCACTTCTGCGGTTGGAGGCTTTTGGAAAGTTTTTAGGGAATATGTTTCCATGGCTGGACGAGAAAAAGGAGGAGAGCTCTGGAGTGGATGTCTTGGATGTTTGAGGTACCCGACAAATGACAAAATGTTTGGAGAAATGTCATGAAATATCTGTGTTTCGGCAGGACCGCCAGGACACATCTTCCCCTTCCCGTGGTTCATCCCCCCCTACTCGCTCCTCGGAAGAAGTCATGGAGTTGAAGGACGACTTCCAAAAAAATCTGCCCAGATCTGCCGAGTACAGAGAATGCCTAGACGTATCTAGACGTAAAACAAAGTCACCAAAGATCGAAGGAGATCCGAACAACTTTTGTTGCACAAAATTGACAACTTTTCGACACATTTCACTGAGAGCGGTTTGGCCAGGACCTGGGCTCGAGTGCTTTTGACAAGGCATGTGAAATATGGCAAAGTGTGGCAAAATGGCAAAGGATCATGAAGAACATGAGTCTTTGGAAAGATTGGAATGTGACACGTGGTCGGGTGGTCCGGTCACCAGTTTTTTTCGGCCCAGGCCCTTCAAGTGAATTTGGATAATACGATCTATGGGAGCTTTGCAGAAATCGGTGCTGGCCAGGAGGCAGGGTGGAGCTGTCGGTCTCACTCTCGTCGGGCTTTCGTGTCATTTTTTTGTCCGAAATGTCTCAAATCGTTGCTCGAAATTCGAAACTCGAGAACGTGGCAGGTCTCAAGAACTTTCCTCACAGCTGGTGCAGCAGCTGGCACTGTGGTGTTCTCAGTTCTAATTCCCTGTGTGCATGTTGACCGAATGACTGTTCTGAAATCTCCCGAATTCCCAAGCTCTTTTTCATTCTTTTTAACTAATCCTTGATTGCCGACTTTTGAATACATTTGATTCATTGACCATGAAACTGACGAAACTCTTGCGGTGCAAAGGTAGCGCGTTCTTTGTCCGCGTACGACATGCAGATTTCAGACGTGACCTACGGCAAAGCGAAGCGCTACGTGACACAGGCGCCCTGGCGACCTCGGACAGAACGCTGACAGTTGACACCCTGTCAGAGCAACGATGGCGTCGTACACAGATTTGGTGCATATGCCGTGCTGAAACAATTTTTATTTTAGTTTTGTCAATTTTGTCAAGACAGTCTGTTCGTTTTCTGTTGATTTCTGAGCTTGTGAAGGAGCGCCTGGACCAAATGTTGAAGACAGAGTATGACACTTTAGAGGCCTGCAGTTGGAGATGTTGGAGTCTGCAAACCTTTGGGCAGACATTTTCATGATTTTCATGGCAGCTAGGCCAGCATCCGCGAAGAGAAGGGCAAGGAGACCCGCTTTTTCGCTTTTGCAACAACCTTGGCAGCTAAGGTGCCACATGGATCCACATGGCATATCATCATATCATGGAATGTGCACAGTGTGCACAGTGATGGTGAAATATGACTCTTGCTGTGGTGCAATGTCCTTCTGCAATGCTCTGCATGGTTACCCTTTTGATCCCTTTTGACACATTGTCACAATGCAAAAGGGGACCAATGTTGGAACGCGCAGGCTTACATGTCGAACCGCGAGTGTGAAGGATGGGTTGGAATGACTTTTCAGCACGAGGTGGGGACATCTCGAGTCAAACTCTTTATGGTTCCAGGTCCCAGGTGAGGATGGTGAGGTTTGATGGGGTTTCTGTGTGTCGATTCCAAGGCTGGAGCCGCTCCAAGTTCTGCCTTGCTGGGCACGTTTGAAGATCGATAAGATCGCATCTGTGTTTGTTGACCAATCTGAAGTCACCGCGACATGTGCGACATGTGCGACATGTGCGACATCTCGGCAGTCGGCGAACGGGTCCACTTGGTCGATGGTTCTCGATGGTCCATGGCCAGGTGCAGCTCCACGTCCGGATGTGCGACGAGACCGCGCAGCTTCAGGGAGAAGCGATTGGTCGCTTAGGCGATGGAACTCCTGACATCTGACACCATAGTGACATCATGGACCATAGTGGAACTCTGCGGTGGAACATTATGATGACACCATGGTGACACCGTAAAGGGTTACGGTGGAAACGGTGGAAGCGATGAGGGCCGCAGAGCTTTTGCCAGGCACCAACCTGATCTACCTGTGCAACTTTGCGAAGGCGAGCTGGGGCGAGTTGGGCAAGTTGGGCGAGCCGAGATGTTCCATCCATTGCTCGCTGTCGTAACACTGTGGTAACACTGTCGTAACACTGTCGTAACACTGTCGTAACACTGTCCATTTCGTTTCTCAGGACCCAGTCGTGATAACTTCCTTCCTCCTGGATGCCATTGAGGAGTGGAGATTCAACACGCGATTTTAAGCCACTTGTTGCAACGCGTTGGACAAGGTGCAGTTCCTCAAGCATTGAAGCAATGTGACGTTTTTCATAATTTTTCTCTAGGAGGGCCGACTCGAAGTTGACTTCGTGCAATTTGACGGTCCTGGCTTTCCGGAGGTGCAACGAAACAATCTGGCTGAGACCGCAGCATGAAAGATGAAGAGAATATGAAGAGAATATGAAGAGAATATGAAGAGAATATGAAGAGTCAGAAATGCACACCGTTGTCAGAAAAATACATCACAAACACTCGACAACTCATCACAGACAGTCGAGTATCCAAGCACAGTTCACCGCAATTTACATGCTCTGTCCTATCTGTCCTTGCCTTGCCGTTTTCTTGATGCTTCTGAGGAGACCGTTGATTATCGCTTGCTGGCCATGAAGATGGCTCTTAGCTCGGACTCAAGTAGACTCGAATGACGATTCGAATGTTCCTTTACTTTCCTTTACCATTTATATATTTTTTTCAGATCTGTTAAGAAGGCTGTCATTCTTGGCACGCGGCTTTCTCCAAAATCAATCATGATTGGACGAGAGCAAGAGTCCGCAGTTGGCAAATTCCGTGCAAGGTGGAGTTCAAGGTGGCTCCATCTGTTCTTCTTGTCTACGATGAGAAGAGCCAATTGTGACCAGCGATTCAGTGTCCAAAAGACGGGCATCGACATCCTTGAAATCATTGAGCCAGGATGAGCCAGGTACATACAGGCAGTTCCCAACAATGCATTCTACAAGCGCCCAGTGGTGGTGCAAAGGCTGCGCCATTGGAATCCATTGGAATCGGGGAAACATTTTGAAACAGAACTGCAACACCTGTGACCTGTGTGTTCGGTGAATCTTGATGAATCTTGGTGACAGGTCTCGCTTTAAGCCAGTAACATTTGCACATCAGGAGGTTCTTCAGGCGTGGCTTCAGTGGTTTGTTCATGGTCAATTCATGCAGTGACCAGTGAAGAATCACAGAATCATGGAAAGGAAAATGCAGGCAGATCTGACTGTCAATCTGACTCCAAGTTTTTCACTTTGGTGGTTGTCAATTTGTGATTCGTAGCCACGACAGACACACGCATACACAAGTGCTAAGTGCATTTGGAGAGCTTGGTATATTTGAAAATCCGCGGTAATCCTGCGAGTGCGCAGGTTGCAAATCGTTCTTGTTTGGAAATTCAGAAGTTTTATGAAGTTTTCACTTTTTGGTTGCTGAATGTTGCTGAATGTTGCTGATGTCGCAGATCCAACGTCTCCGATTTCTGTCAGGCTGCTGCCAAGAAGCTCAAGAGCGAGCTGAGTTCAGACTCTCGAGAAGTTATGCAGGTCGCCCTCCCTGTTGCTTTTGGACACAGTCCTACACAGAGAGGGACACATAGTTGGACCATGTTGGACCTATTGCTGATGGTCTTTCTATGTCTTTCTATGTCTTTCTATGTCTTTCTGTGAGTTGTCAGTGGGTATTTTTAGTTTGACCATTGCTTTCTGGTGTTCAGAACTCACACATTCCTCTTATCGAATCAATTTGAACTCATCAAGTCATCCAAATTGATGTGCTGGCGCCGACGGGTGCGACAGGTCGTGCCATGACACAAACATTGCACCACATGACGCGTATGAATGGTATTATATGTTACCTAGATTTCCATGTCCAGTGTCATGTTGCAGATTTGAGGATATAAGGCACAAAATGGAATCGGAAAGCATACTGTATCATTCAACAATATTCAGAATATTCATATTGGTGATGATTGTGCGCAATTTTCCTTTCCTGAGACTCCTGAGGTTCCGATTCAAATTTCCAGGGCCCTGAGGTTCCTATTTCAGTGGGTTTGTAAACAGCGATTGCGCATCAAAGCCCTGGCCGCAGCACCCGGCTCAAGCGCAGCCGGATATTTCACTTCGAGGCCTGCGAGCTAGGAACTTGATGGAACTTGCTGATGTTGCGACGTTCATTTGATGCAAGTTATGACAGTTAGGGCAAGAACTTGTGCCGGAATTTCTCTCCAAGCTGCTACTTTCACACTGTGGCTAGAGCACGCACTCGGCATATTTGCTTTATCCATTTTGTGTCCTCCTTTGAAAGGTGGGTGCTAATTCTTTTGTAAGGCATGAACTGTGATATTTCCGACAGGCACAGAAGTTCTGCCGACCACTTGGGTTGCGCTTGATATCATTTCGAGGAGGAGTGGTCTCTTTGAGTGTCCCTTGCCGTCTCAAGAGCACATAAGAGCACTGAAAGTATGTCGCAAATCATTCATTTCTCAGTCTGATTTGGGGCTGTGCCTCAATGTGGCACATGCAGCATGGCATGAGTTGATATGAATTGTATGAATAGTTTGCTGGCAGCTCGCCCCTTTGGATGATTTTAGTGACATTTTGGTGTCTTGGTAAGGACTGCCCTGAATCCTCACGAGATGGCTGTAGTACCTGATGCTGAAGCTCCACTCATGTTTGCAACCTCTGCCGTGCAGATCACCATTGTTTGGCAATTGCCCGAATGATCTTCGAGGTGAGACTTTCTCAACAGACATCGCCTGCGCAAAAGGTCTCAATTTATCTTGATTTCGGATCTAAGGACGCAGGCAGAAGGTCCCTTATGCTTGAGTCAGACTCTGGGCATCAAATGCCCGAAGCGTCGTTTTCTTTTCAAGTTCTCAACGTTTGCCAAATCTCATAGTTGAAATGCATTGAAATGCACTGAGGAAGGGCCAGAAACATCCTCGGTGAGCTCCAGGCAGCCAATCCCTTGATTGCTTTAACATGCTTTAACATGCTTTAACATGCTTTAACATGTTGCATGATAAAGTTTGGTAAACTTTAAATAGGCTTTAATCAACTTTAATCCTCGTTCCGATTCATGCTGCATGCTGCATCTTTGTGAACATCTTTATATGTGTGGCAGGAAGACCAGCTTCATAAAGCGGCTGCTGATGACCATGGGTCCAGGTCTCATGGTTTGCCTGGCAGATACAGATGGCTCTTGCCTCATCACAGCAGCTGACTCCGGCTCGGAGTGGAGGTACCAGTTTCTTGGTCGCCTAGTGAGTAGATGTGAGTAGATGTGAGTACTGTAGATGCGAGTAGCATGATGTTGTCATCACGTAGTCACGAAACTGAGTCATGTGCGGTCCTAGAGTTTCATGATCGTTCTGGGACTTCAGTTGACTTCAGGGAGCTGCAAAGTTGCGAGGCTTTTGTTGCTGCAAATCATCCTGATCCCCATATTGTACTTTGCCCAGGACGCAGTGCCGGTGCTTCTTCCATGTCGTCAATGTCGTTCCATTTGCCATCATCTGACATCATTTGACGATTGTCATCATTGAGTCAGGTCACTGTCTAGAGCCCAAAAGCCTCTCCTGAAAAACCTGCGTAACCAACAGCATCGAAGCATGGCAATTGGATGTAATTGGTCAGACATTCATAGCAATTCAAGACTTTGAAGTAGACGCGATGAATCTTGAAGACATTTGACTTTAATCAATGTCAATCAGAAATGGTCGAAATTCCAAGACTTCGGCGCTGATTTGGTAGAAGAGAAGTGAAGGCATATAGCGTATTAAAACAGATAGTAAGTAATAGTAAGTATATAAATTTAAAATGATTTAAATACTGATAAATGCTGTATTGTACTAAAGATACTAAAGCAAGACACATTATGAAGATGGGGACGGATGGCCTTCCGTATCCGATCCTGTCGAAGGAGCTCTCAGTCCGTCTCGCCTTGGCCAAGGGCAAGGAGGGACCTGCTGGGAGGGGCCACGGGCAATGCAGTGCTTTGTGATTCCTGTAAATTGATATATGGATGATTATGGATGTATATATAGAGAGTGGGACGCCACCAGGTCCCCAAAAATACGTGGTTTTAAGCCGTTTTTTGAATATTTTAGGCTTCTTTTTCCTCTTTTGATCATATATGAAAGATCAAAGTTCTTGGGAGATGCACTGTTTTTGGTTTGTTAATCCTTAGCTCTATTCTTGGTTGCTTGCTTTTTGTAGCTCTATTGACTCTATTGTTTTTTGATAGGTGGTCTTAGAGCATGAATGGCAAAGTTCTTTGCCCAACAACATCTTGAAACATAGAGATTCATTGTGTCAGTTGGTACTTCATGTATAATATATTAATGTATAGGTACTACCTAGGTATACAGCTATTGCAAAGACAGTATATATATACATAGCACTTTGTATTTGCATTGGTGGTTTTTGATATTGGATTGCCAGGTCGCCTTTTGGTTGACATCATAGTTCCAGTGGAACTCTTTTAGCAAAAGAAAGCGCAAATTCCAATCTACTCTCCCTCCTCAAGTAGTTGCATTTTTTTGGCATACTTCATGGTAACTTGCTGCATCAATGCACAAGCAAGGCAGACATTCTATAGATACAGTTGTTTGGTAAGGTTGCTTAAGTGTTTCCTTTACTTGGTCTTGTGCCCTTCTGGTTACCATGATGAACCTATACTGACATAGTTTAAGTTTTGCCCACAGCCATGAGTACATTTATGGTAATAAAATGTCTGCCGTTATACTTGCAGTGACACAGCAAATTACCATGGAATATGCAGGCAAACACGCCTTTTATGAAGCAAGGGGAAAATGGAAGTGCCCCTGGAATTTGCCAACTCTTGTGATCAATCGATATTTTAAGCAAAGATCTTTTACTGCATTGAAACCTGGAAGAATACCATTGCATATGCAGGAAAAATGTAGAAAACTTGTGTCTGTAAGTGTAAGAGCATAGGTGACTTATATGCCACCCATTCCATAACTGTATGTACTATACAAGAAAAATTTATATATAAAATAGTGGCATTCTAAGTGCAAATGCAGCTTGGATGTGTTGACACAGCAAATGGCTATGGTATCTGCAAAAAATATTGCTTTTATCACAAAATACCCTCTAGATATCAGTGCATGTTCGAAGCTGCCATTTCTACTGTATATATACTGATACTGCACACTTGTGACAATGCGCCTGCATACTGGTTGAAACCAATCACCCACTAAAGCACAAACAACCCCTGAAACTTTTCATACAGTTTATAGATCAACGAATTAAGAACAAGAGTGAGTATTGATCAAAGGGATGGAGAAGGGACCCCTTTCCATATGAATGCATTCTGGGAGCTGCTACTTCCTAGTCCAATGTGTTGTGTCATAGCTGTTTTCTGTCAAGTTTTATAAACAGTCTTACCTACTCATCCTGTCATACAAGATCATAAAAGCACAGCCAAGCAATTATGGTAACAGGGTACCTGGATTAGATTTGCAGTGGCATAGCAAATTACTGTGAAATATGCAGAAAAACATATTTTTTGGAGAAAGGGTAAGTTGGAGCTGCCCTTACCATGTGCCAACTCTTACGAGCAAAGTCAGTTGCAACCAAAGAGTCTTTATTGCAGTCAATCCTGGAAGAATTCCATTACATATGCAAAGTACATGTGGAAAATGTGTGTACGTATTGCTTGTAGCATCCATATCATAGATGCATACAGTAGTACTACTACAAGGAAAATGCAAGTCCATCAATGTATATAGGAGGGCTATATATAGGAGGGCTAGGAGAGGGGGGAAGCTCATAAAAAAATTGGTTCCCTTTCCTTGGCCACCTCTCCCCTAAGGTATACGGTATACACACACTATGTTTGTTTTTCCTCCTTCCTTTTCCCTGGGAATCTTCATGACTCTCTGGACATTCTTTGGCAACCTTTGGCAAGCCCTGAGGAAGTCTGACAATCTGTGTGGATCTCTAGCAATACCATCACAGGTATATGAACATAAATGATCGAACATGATGTAGCAGAAACACTGCATTCCCAGAAACGTGGAAAATGGGGACCTGACAGCGTCCTTTTCTGGATATATATATATACATATTTAATATTGTTTTTATATAGATGGAACATATTTGATCTGTAATTTGATACTATGTAATAGAAAATTGTACAACACGCTCGACAGATTGCTTCAGAGGCTTTTATTGAGGAATGGATTCATGTGAAATGCCTGAAATGCGCTGCATGTGATGACATTCCTTCAGTTTGAAAGGGTGAGACTCGGTGAGACTTTCTCTCAGACTGACCTTGTGAAGTTAGTGATGTTGTGTCACTCGCTCAGGGCCTTTGCGCATTGCTGAGAATAGAGGCGAAGTGTTGGTGGAACACATCGCTAGAATGTCATGAATGGAATCCTATCCATGAAAGTCATCATATTTGCGTCCAGTCACAGACATGCTGCTGTTTGCTTCTAGACTAAACCAATGAAACAGATGAATGGAAACATTATGACGTGAGCCAAATTTCTTTTACCCATGATGTTGAACGATTT